AACCGCTGCAGTACTAACACAAATATTTTAAGCGTAGAGTGGTTACCAAAGAGATATGTAATGTAGTTTGGACTGGTCGTACATTTTGGTACTTACCATACAAATTATAAAACGGTCAACAAATAAAAAAATTGAGTCGACAATAGCCTTATTAAAGGTACGGACCCAGAACTCAAAGGTCGTGGGTTTGAATCAGCCATGCGACTACTATCGTAAACCAATCCTAACCACAAGCATTTTAAGCTTACCTTGTTAATGGTTGACGGGAATATTATAAAATATAAATGTTAATTTAAATACATTGCTAATATTTTTTCTTACTAAAAATCTGGGTTGCGTATAGGTAGGTATATGATTTGTTATTGTTTACAATCAAAGGTTGTAGTAACGTACATAAATAAGCATTGATTGTAATAGTTTTAAAGCTCTACAGGAGTTAAATTTTTAATTAATTGTGAGTAGACCCTCTCAGACAGTTAATTCTAGACTGATTGATGTAGTTGAAGATCTAAAACGAGGACACGCAACAATCGTAAGACCGGACACGTCACTTCAGTTAATTTTCCATTGTGTTATTCACTTTTGTAGTCCAGCTCAGCAGCTAGTTGAGCTTGTATTCATATAATTTATCTAACATTCCGTTATTTTAAGCTATCTTTCTTATCTTTTAAGTTTTTTTTTTATAGGATAGGGTGATAAACGAGCACACAGTCCACCTGATTGGTAAATGGTTGCTGCGGCCCATAGACATCTACATCTATCCTTGAGATTGCGAATCAAAATGCAGATGCGTTGTAATCCGTGAGGACTAAGATGGAATGCCTTGTTTCCGGTAAAAAGGGTATCCGGTTCTCTACACTCACCATACGAAACACAGCAGCATTAAGCTACTATTTTACGCTGGTATTCTGTGAGAGCGTGGTCCTTCCCCGGTCGAGCCGACCCATTCGTGCTACAACTATACTACTAATATAACTGCAGCATGGCTCTACCACAAATATAAATATATAAAAATTTTAAATCTTAATATAAAAAAGTTGTAGTTTTTTTTGCATTTCAATTTGAATAATTTGCATTGGTAAGAACGATTGTATTATTTTTACATAAATTAAATGAATAAACGAAATAACTTTATATTTTTATACTAATTAAACATTTTCCTTACTTTGCATATAATTTGATTGACTTCTAATCCAATAACGATTATATTTTTCATGTAAGAATTTTTTTTGTATGAATTATAATTTTATTCGGAAAGATTTTAATTGAATTCAGCGCAGCACTTAGCATAGAGCATAGCACACCCCATTACCATTATAAAGCGTAAGCTGCGGAAGGAAGGTCTGATAAGAGTCAAATTAGATTCGAAGATTGTGTTTGCCTAAACTGATGCGATGAATTCAGTCAAGTATGCATCAAGAGTGACTTGAATATCAGCCATGCGCTGGCAAGTGTTGAACGAAGAGCTAGACGGAGGGACGGTTTATTCTGTGGTGACGGCCTGAGAACACAAGCAGTCAGTCGATGAATGCACGTCTGCGGGTTATGAACACGATTCAGGACAATCTATAGGGGAGGCCTGCTCTTAGCAGCATACTGATGATGCTGTTGATGAGTAGACGTAACTTTTGTAAAATCAAACAAATCAAAACCAATTTTAATATATTTAAATTGGAATTATTTACTTTAGGAGATAAATTATATAGATCGGTAACGCAATTTCTAATATGTAACGTAATGACAAAGTTTGTACTTATTAATTATTTAACAATAATCGATCTGCCTAATAACCAATAATGATTATAGGTAATTTATAGTAATTAGTGTGAAAAAATGAACTGGTTTCTTTAAGCTCAACAACCATCAATCCAGTACAGCTTTACTCTTTTCAAACGATTATTTTTACTGAGTTATGTGACGTGAATATTATGAAATCAAGTTGATTTCAACTTCACTTTCAAACGAAGCGATATGCAAATATTTATTTCGACCGAGACCATCGCTGATTAAACGACTTAGGTATACGACACCCACGGAATTACGCTAATAAGCAGCGCTTTAATATTATAATCGTAGGCGTCTGTTAGTAATTGTGTAGCTTCTGAACGACTTGACCTATTGAGTTCATATTTACACAATATACTTTAGTTTAGTCGAGACGATGGTTCATGGTTATGATCCGATTGATGACGTTATGGTTAAGTTATCTACATCTATATATTAGTAAATAGTTATACTGTAAAAATTCAGCTGTGAATTCGAAGTGAAACTGATTGCGTCATCTACCGGAAAGGGCAAAACAACGTCTGTTGGGCCAGTTTGTAATTTATATAACGACTTGGCGGTGTTTCTACGGTTAAAAGTTAAAAGTACTTTTGTTGGAAAGTCACAAAATAAATTTAAAACCCTGGATAATCGCTTTGAATACCTAAGATGTTTTTTTTTTTAAAGAAATTTCTTTATTCATTTTTAGATTGTTTACATTTACGGTTTACTAATTGGACATGGATCTCTACCATAATGGCCGCCCCATTATGGTAGAGATCCATTTCTCTGAGAGAGCGTGGTCATTATTCTTTCGAACCGATCCTTTCGTGCTACAATACAACCGTAATATAGCTGCGGCATGACTACCACATATAAAAACTTATTCGATATTAAAACTAACTAAAGTACCGAACAAAAAATCAGAAAAAGTTCTTTCTAATTTTTCATAAAGTTTAATAATATCTTTACGAGGTAAAGTTGATAACAAAATATTTACGTTAGACTTGCCCAATGATTAATTTATCAAACATTGTTACCTTATCAATATTAAAATTTACGCAATACTCATTTTGTAAAGTATTTTTTGAACAGACACGCTTGGAGACAATCAATTAAAATACAATTACACAAATGCTTAATGAATGTAACATTGTAAAAACTAAAAACCATTAAAAACGAGTAAGTGACGTCATACTAATCGACAAGTAAAAAAGTACACCTTATCTGAACACAAATAAAAAAGTGTACCGAATGACATCATGCAATGATGAGATAACCGACCGTGGTAGAGCTATGCTGCAGCTGTACTGTAGCTGCAGTACATTGGATCAACTCGAACAAAAAAGACCACCATTTAACAGAAAACAAGCATAAAACAGCAGCATATTGATGCTTTGTTTCGTATGGTGAATGTAGAGAACTGGAGACCATTTTTTATTGTTAACTAGGTTTTCTATTCATTTAGGCGTGATAACGCACCTACATTTTGATTCCCAATCGAGGGTAAATGTAGATGTATATGTGCCACAGCATCCACTTACAATTAGGTGGACTGACTTATTCTATAGAAAAAAATGAATGAATAATACTCATGGAAAATGTTTAAGAATGAAAGCAGCGACAATTTAACACCAACAGTGCAGTTGTATAACTCTGTGGAAATCTTTTGCCGGTAGGAGTCACTCCGTAACTGCATAAAATTTTGAATAAAACTAAATTTACGGATTTTATCGCGTTTATTTCATTACTTTTACTTATTTTTAATTCCCGACGTTTCGGGTGCTTTACAGCACCCATGGTCACGGGGGGACTGAGATGTTAGACGTCCCAATGTCATAGTTAGTCCGGCTACCTTCAGTTTTTGAATATTAATTTTTGGTCCGATTTACGCAAATCGAACAAATCGATTTGGGTAAATCGGACCAAAAATTAAAAAAAAAATTAATATTCAAAAACTGAAGGTAGCCGGACTAACTATGACATTGGGACGTCAAACATCTGTCCCCCCCCCGTGACCATGGGTGCTGTAAAGCACCCGAAACGTCGGGAATTAAATATAAGTAAAAGTAATGAAATAAACGCGATAAAATCCGTAAATTTAGTTTTATTCAGTGTGTAGTGTTCGCGTAAATTTAAGAAATCATTATTGCATAAAATTTATTAATTATAATAATTTTGTAACCTTAGATTAGATTAATATAAAAAAGACATCGACTTATAACTGATACTGTCACACAACGAAACTAAACATTACATGTCAAAATCAAGCATCAATTCTCATTTACACAATCACATTTATCATTTACACAATCGTTGCTGTTGACGGGATGGTTTGATATATTTTGCCTTCAACATCTCTTTCTGCCAGTTTAAATACGTAAAACTTACATAATACGCCAATGCAATTATTATAAGAGGATATATTAGTAACGGAAAAGGAACTGAACTAACCACTTAGCTATGAAACCGGTTAGTATAGAGTTTACATAAAAAAACGAATCAGTACATATCACCAGACATATCTTGCGTCAAAAGGTGTCGACGGTAGACAAAATATTGGACACGGCGGCTGCGCACCAAGTATAAGACATAAGGGGGTGTAGGGAATGGGGGGAGGGGGTATATTTTTTGCTAACAGCAGCTGACTAACCCCATTTAGGATTTTATGTCTGATTACACAAAAGTAGGTTGCCCAGTCTGGGCAGTGATATCAGACATCGTGGGTCAAAAGAAGATAGCAGGTCTAGTAATAAAAACTATGCTACAATCGATTACTTTTGCTCATTAGCGTCTGAGCAAAATTAAAAAATAATGTGAAGGAAAAGAAAAATCTTAGGCGTTGAAACCCATTACTAAGTTGCGACTTTTAACGTAATCGAAATGATCAGATAGAGTAGAAATTTTAACATGATTGCATGATACTGATGATGATTGGATAATTAAAAAAAATAATGCAGAAATAAAGGAGTTAACACAAAACTATAGCGAAAAATTTCACCTTTCTAGGTCACTAGGGGGCGTGGAATAATGGTCATACTGACATAGAATCATTAAGCGGAACTGCGTATTTTTCATCGTCAAATATCTCATTTTTATCGCACGTCCCAAATATAATATCAACGCATCGTTACACGTAATACCCAAACGCTGGTATTTCAAACTTCCTAATTGACGGTAAACTTGCGATACGATCCAAACGCTATTGATCCCAGTGGGTGAGATATTATGAGAAAATGCTGTACACAGAATCTTTTATTTTAATCACGTACCAGGTGAGTATAAGGGCTATCTCATCTCCATTCATCCAATACACGAAAGCACTGCACAGTTTGTATCAAATTAGAAAAGGTTAGGAACACACTGGGGCAGGGGACGAGTCGTCCGACACAAGCGAGCCGCGACACTACCACTAGTTCCACAGAGTGAGTCGCGGCCGCAATATCGATCAGACTCCAGGCGCCGGCGAGCCGTATATCCCTAGTGCACGCACGCCCCTCCCCCTTTATTATGTCGGCTGTTTGGTTTTCAAATGATGTATTCTATACAAATAAATAAAAGTGTCTGTTGGTAATGTCAAAATATCATCTTTTTACTAAATGCATATGAAATTATATACGGTATTAAAAAAAAACTATTTTTGAAATTTTTGTCTGTCAGCCCATCTCCGTTTGTCCCGGCTAATCTCCGAAATGGCTGGACCGCCTTTGACGGGATATCACTTAGGCTACTTTTATTTTAGAAAAAGAATTAGGGTTCCGCGCAAAGAAATTAAGACCCATGAAATCCAATCGAATAAATTCCAAGCGGGCAAAGTCGCTGGGAAAGCTGTATTTATTATATTTTTAATGAAAACAAGGTTTTTTAATTAATGAAAAAAAAAAATAATGTAATGTATAAATATATTTTTGTCATAAATTTGTAGGTGGAACTTGGAATGATAAAGAAAAATCCATTTGAATATCATGTTAAGTCATAAGTCATAACTCATAATCATGTATGTTTAACAACTATTAATAAATATTATATTAAAAAATAGCTTATTTTTATACATATCTATTCAGAATTTTCGAGTCCGATTCAAGTGAGGCCGGTATAAGAACACTTAGAAAATCAAAGGCTCACCATCCCTCTCTCGACCTTGTACGTCAAATAAACCCCCGACCTTACATGCCCCAGACAGCGACGAAGAAATCCGTCAAAAGTAAAGTTGACATATTTTATTTTATTGTTGACTACATGCCGTAAAATTGAGGCAAGTTACTCATAAAGTTAATGCATTCTTAAAATAGTATAGAACATATTAGCCTTGATTTACAAGAATATAGTTTAAAATCAAAACCTTAAATATAATAAAACATTAATAAACACATTTGTTATGAACATAACATTGTAACAATTTTAAAATCCGCATATTACATTCGCAGTAGAACCAGCGTAATCGACATTGCCCAATGGATCACTGTTCACTAATATGACGTGGCAATGGACCGACCATAAAGCTCAAAGAACTGACAACTGATGCAGAAGAAATGAAGGGAAGTGTAGTGTCCCACGAGATGGGAGTAAAGACCTGGTAAGAGATGCAGAAAGTTGATGGATGCAGGTAGCTTAGGACCAGGCTTTGTGGCGTTTTTATGCAAATAGACTCGTCGCAACTCATGATTAATATGTGTTATAATTTCACAGGCACAATTAACCGTCCGCCCTTCATAAGTTTCTTCACTACATTTCTTTTTGTAACTTTATACATTTCATGATTATTATTTGTGTTAAGTGAGTACCTACATTTTGGAAACAAATTAAACAAATCAACCCTGTTTTTTTTTGTTTATCTTGTGGTTTTAACGCCATTTTAAAGATTAGTCTACAGTTAGCGATATTTAGAATCGGTATATTGGAGGCTTAAAATTATTGAAATAGTTATCCTTATCAGTTAAAATTGCTGAAGTCAACTTCATAAGGTAAATTTTAGTGTGTTGTGCTTAAAAAAATGTCTTTGAATGCTGCTGGCGCTGGAGCTTTAATTGATGAGGGGAACAGCCAGAGGCAAATTGCACTAACGCTTCGTGTACCGCGTACGATGCCAACCGGCGGTATCGGGAGACTGGTTGTTACACACGGAGATCCGGTCAAGGGCGACATCGATGCACGTCAGCTCGGGACGATGGTTTTATTGTCAGTAATGTGATACAAGATCGCTTTCATACAGCAGCTAAGGTTCGAAATCGCCTGTTTGAAGTCAGAAATGTCAGTGTAAGTGAAAGAACAGGAAGAAGACGGTTGACTGAGAAATCAGCATTTCGTCCAGCCCGCGCTCCAGAGCTCCTCAGATCGCACAGAACAGCCAGGTTACGTTTCGCGCCTTATCATGCTAACTGGTCATCGCAGGAATGGATGAATGTTTTGTTCTGAGATGAAAGCAGAATTGCTTTAAGAGGTCCTGATGGACGCCAGCGTGCAATAGTGGAAACGGTGGGATATCAAGGAGGCTCAATTATGGTATGGGGAGGCATCAGTTCGTACCAACCTCGTTATCTTTGAAAGAGGTGCTGTAAATGCTCACAGGTACGTCGAAGAGGCTCTGTAAGAACATGTCATTCCTTTTGCCTTTTTTATTGGCCAGAATTTTCTATTGATGCATAATAATGCTAGAGCCCATGTTGCCCAAAGTGTTACTGAACACCTGAATAAGGTCGGAATTCAAACATTGCCGTGGCCCGCATGCAGTACTGACCTCAATTCAATAGAACACATATGGAACAACTTCAAAAGACTTCATTAGAGCCAGTACACCAGCTCCTGCCACCATACGAGAGTTGAAAGCAACTGCATTAGTGGAATGGCACAACATTCCTCAATCAGATATCCAAGATATTATGGATAGGCTACCAAACAGGCTGCAAGAAGTCATTAGAGAAAGGGATGTTTCCATCAAAAATTGTTTATTTTTCAATACTGTTTTTTGTAAAAAAAAAACAATTTCCCTTTATTCAATTTTTCATAAAATTTCTAAACATTTTCATTACATTTTATCACTTATTGTTTTGTTTAATACCCCTATAACGCAAAAACAAATATAAAGTTTATTTTGAGCAATTTTTGGAAATAATTAAAAAATATATGGTGGACGGTAAATTGTGGCTGTGAGTATATAATTTAGGCGAATTACAAAAAAGGAGAGGATCTCAATTCAACACTATTTTTTTGTTTGCATATTTTCATGAGTCTCGTTAGCTCAGGGGCTAAGCAATTGCTGTAAATTTCACAGTCATCACACAAGCGAACCAAGTTCCATCAACGACTGATGAAATTGATTGCAATTTCAAGTACTGATTTACCACATGCTCGACGGTAAAGGAATACATCGTGAAGAAACCTGCATGACTGCGTGGCAGACTTTTCCTTGCCCTAAAATCCTCTCAGAAATTAGAGATGGCCTGTGCCCAGCAGTGAGACATATACAGGCTGTACTTTAATTTTATTGTGTGAACTTATTTACATTATTTTTTTTAATTAAATAGGCTATACTTCTGATTGGTGAAGTTTTTAAAGTAACTATTTACACAATAATCTAGTTGTAATCTTGATTTCTGATATTCCTTAGTTTAATAAAAATCAACATATTATTATTATAAAGTTCTTTAGAGTAAGGAGTATAATTCTCAAAATAAAATTACCCTTTTCAGATGTATCTTAAAGGTAGGTATCCATATTTTAGAAGCCTGGATTCCAGCCCAAAAAAAATTATATCTGTGGATACGAATTGGCGAAAAAAAAATGATTTACTTACTTAAAATGCATTTGGCAAAATTCAACTAACCCAAAATGTTAAGAATAAGTACTACAGCCATCCAAGACAATATTCCTCCCAAGCATTGGGTTTAATAAACCAAGCAACTTGAATTATCTGTAAACTGAGAAGTGGGATTTTTGAGTGATGTTTTTTGTTCGTGAGTTCAGAGTTAAGGATAGCACACTGTGTAAATGTGGATTACATGAATGCACCACAACCAATTTTTTTTAAATTGTCCCTAAACTATCTTCGTCCCTCTATGATAACCTCCCTCCTGATATCCCTCAATCTATACATTTTAATTCTCTTTTTAACAGAATTCAGAAAAAAGAGGAAGTTCTCAACTGTATTTTTTTCTTTTTATGTGTGTTACCTCAGAACTTTTTTTAGATGAACCGGTTTTGATAATTCTTTTTTTGGAAGCTGGTGCTTCTCAGGTGGTCCCATATAAATATGATCAAGATCTGACCAGTAGTGTTTGAGTTATCTTTAATAATACGTATTTTATTGACATTTTGATTTTGATCAGATTAAATTGCTGACGTTCTCATTTCTTTTCTATTGAAGTTGTTTGCACTAAATTTTTAATTTTACCACTTGTTACATTTTTATATAATTTATAAGTTTTATGTAACAATAATGACATACAACTTTAAATCTTTGACACTTAAAATACTAATAATATTCTACCTATTCGTCATTCGTTAAAGGTGATTCAACAGATAGATTTGCCAAAATTCTAGGAGAAAAAGTAAACCCTTGTATTATCACAAACTCTTATTTTAATTAGTCTTCAGCTTTCATTTTTCATGCAATATGTCACTAGAGAATTTACCAAACCAATCTTAAAATTACCTGAAGTGCGGCAGTCGATATACATGCCAATCAATTTTGAGTTAGTTTGCATAATACAAAATAACGGTGTTAATCCCAATGCAATACTCCATTTCCTTTAATTATTTTCAGCATCTGTCCTAATGTGTTGAATGTAAAGATGAGTGATATGGTTCACATATTAACCATCAAAAATATATAAATCCCACTTGGAAAATTAAAATGACTGAAGGAAGTGGAAAAATTGCATGGGTTCAAGGAAAGTTATCTTACAAATATGTAATTCATTTTCAAATCAATAAGAAATAAAGAAAGAGAAAAAGTTCATTACTTCATCATTTTCTTCACAGTAAAAGATGTTAAAACAAAACAAAAGAAAGTTATAAACTAAAAGTAATAAACATGTAACTAGAATACTACAAAACTATAGTGGTAGAATATAATATATTGCATGCAAAGCATGATGTAAAAGAAAGTTCTGTAGTTGGCATAAATTGTAGGTACAAAAAAAAAACATAACTGATTCACAATTCAGTCATTTAACACCTAATGCATTTTAAAGCAGGGACATTTCTGATTATATTATTTATTATTATTATTATATATATTATCCATGATGTATTCACACTACATTACATATAATAT